AAGAAGCCTAGTCAAAATAATTGTATTATATTACAGCAAACATTAACAGTATTAGCATTGAATCAAGCACAAATTAGTATGAGGATTAGTGGAAACTTTTTTTCTTAATAAAACAGAAGAGAAATGATAACAAAATAGTCAAAGACAAGTCATAAAAATTCCATGGGAATCCTATATTATTCTGTAAAGCAATATGTATAAATATAAATATAATGAGATGCAAACAAAAGAATGTCACAGTTTTAAAGGGACTATGTTTTGAATAAAGGATCTGTAACTAAAAATTTGTGAATTTTTTTACATTTTGACATAACAAGATTTATGACATTTCAGTCAAGCTGTATAATCTTTGAAGAAGAAACTTTTAGTAGAATAAAACTTTAAGTCTTTTTAGAAGATATTATAAGTGAATACTTTTATAATTTTAGGCTGAAAAATATTTTCTTCCAGAAGATACAAAGGATCTTAATCATAAAAGATTAAGATTCAACAACTTAAAAATAACTTAAAATTCTGTTGATCAAATATCCCACATCCCAGGAAAAAAATAATTTGAAACATCTAACATCCACCATTTTTAATGGACCATAAACAGTTGATATTCAGTGTTGGCATTTTCCATATTCCTACCTCCATTAGAGTAGATGAAGGTCTAAAAGAGTATTTTTCCAGATGTTTGGACCTTTGGACTTATGGATGAAATTAAAAGTTTACCAACAAGAGGTACTTGAGGGAGATATGGAAGACAGAACTAAGAGTGAGACTAGAAGCAAAACTGCATAGACATGAATGTCTCTGAAGAGTCACACTCCATACTCTATTTTCCAGTGGCCAGTACCAGATCTATGGAATTGATGCTGCTGTTGTGGCAACAGATGTGGTGGTTGTTGTTAAGTGCTGTAGCCCTAGGAACAGGAGACCTGAACCCTGTGGTATCCTGTACCATCCTTATCATCTCTAACACATTTGAGCCTATTGCTACAATCATTGTGTCAATCAATCTTGTTGGGGGTCTTTCGTTGACCCTCCATATTTCCAAGTATGATGTCCCTTTCCAAGGAATAGTCTCTCCTAGCAACATGACCAAACCTTTGCCTCCAAGAAGCACTCTGGCTGTACTTTTTCCAAGACCAATATGTTTGCTCTTTTGGTGGACCATGGGATAGTCAATACTCTTCTCCAACAGCAGAAGTGTAAAGTCATCAATTCTTCTGCCATCCCTATTCATTGTCCATCTCTCAGATGCATAGCAAGTAATTGAAAAGACCATGGCTTGAATTATATACACCAATCACTGACAATTTGATCCTTTTTCTATTATGATGCTGCTACTGGTCCAGTGGGGAGGATTTTTATCCTCTTGACGTTGAGATGTAATCCACTGAAGGCTGTAGGCCTTGATCTTCTGCAACAGGCGTTTCAAGTCCTCCTTACTTTAAGCAAGTAAAGTTGTGTTATTTGCATAATGCAGGTTGTTGACGGGTCTTCCTCCTATTCTGACGCCACATTCCTCTCCATAGAGTCCAGATTGACAAATTTGTTCAACATACAGACTGAAAAGGTAGGGAGAAAGGATGTATCTCTGGCACACACCGTTTCTGATTTTAACCATGCAATGTTCCCTTGCTCCATTCAAACAAAAGCTTCTTGATCTAGGTATAGATTTTGTAGGAACACAACTAAGTGTTCAGGGATTCCCATTTTTCTCAATCGTAGCAATAATCTGTTGTGACTGACACAGTCAAATATCTTTGCATAGTAGTGAAAACTGCTAAATTCCTGACTTCAGGATCACAGCCTCTCTAAGGTGTGAACTGGAAATCCATGCTCTAGTAGTACTTATGTGTAAGTACAACAAATCTCTTTGTGTTCTAAATTTATTGAATGATTACTGTTTACTGCACTGACACTGGATGAGTACACCAACAAATATCCAGAATGCAGACAATGTAAAGAATCTTGTCAATTTGATAAGGGAAACATAAAGTAATAAATAAAAAAGAGGGAGAAGAAACAAGTATTTTAATAGGAGAAAGAAACCCACTATGTTTGGGTAAAATTTGGGTAAATAAGTGTAAAAAATAGTCATATATCACTATTCATGAAAATGCAAAATAAAATCACATAAAAACCACTTAACACTCAAATTACTAAAACATTGAAATCCTGTTAAGAACAAATCTTGATAAAAGATGTGGCTCAAATACAATTCATAAATATAACTAGTTGGAATATAGATTGGTACACACACTGTGAAATTAATTTTATATTGTTGTGTTGTTGTTAAGTGCTGTCGAGTCATAGGCGACTCATAGTGACCCTATGAACAACAGTCCTGAACACTTGTGTAACCTTCATCCTTTCTCCAGGTTCATAGGGTTTTCGGAGGCAAACTTTTACAGAACTGGATGCCACTCCTGCTTCAAAGCTTGTTTTAATTGGGGAACTCTCCAAAACACTGTCCACTATGGGTGACCATTATCACATTTAACACATCAGTGTCACAGTGTTCAGCATCACAGCAATCACGAGTTACCTCTGTACAGAAAGTGGACAGACCAGGGCTATAGTAAAGATATTATTCAATAATTTCCACTCAGTTGGATCATCTCTTTTTTGGAGACGGGAACAAATATGGATCTCTCTAGTCAGGGGGTCAGTTAGCTTGTTTTCCAAATTTCTTGGCACAAAAGGTCCAGGTCTGCATTTGTTCTTGAAATACCTCAACCGGTATGGCATCAATTCTTGGGGTTTTATTTTTTCACTAATGTCTTCAATGCAATTTGGACTTACTCCTTCTGTCAGTGCTATTAGTTCTTGATCATATGCTACTTCCTGAAATGTTTCCATGTAGACCAATTATTTTTGGTACAGTGACTCTGTGTATTCTTTCTATATTCTCTTGATGTTTCCTGTATCATTCAATTATTAAGCTGATAGAATTCTTCAGTATTGTAATTCAAGGCGTGATCTGGTTCTTCAGTTGTTCTTGGGTTTTGGGGTTTTTTTAAGTCTACTTTATTTAGGTGAAAATTTACAAGTCATATTGGTTTTCCGTATTCCTCAGTGCTTTCAGCTTGAGAAATGCTAAGTATGTTCTCCTTTTTTGGTTTTTAACTCGAGTTCTTTGCATATTTTGTTATACTTTCTTGGTTTGTCCTCTCAAGCTGCCCTTTGAAATTTATCTCCTGCTAAGGAAAAAGGAAGGTAGGAAAAAAGAAAAATGTATATATACACACCAGTATTTGTATTATTATAGCTCTTTTTTCTTTTATGTGATTTTATTCATAGACCAGCACACTGTATGCTAAGAGAAATATCTGACCAGCCAGCATTTTATATAAATAGTTCTTAACTATTCTGATTATTGTACAAACTCAATTTACAAACAGACTTACAAATGACATTTGATAGGTTGATGGATTTTAACTTTATAATTGTTTCACAGCATCTAGATTATATACAGTGCAAGTTCTTGGAAAAAGACATCACATTTGGGAAACCAGAAGGTCAACAAAACCCAGAAAGACAGAAGATCCTCTAATAGATAGACTGACACAGTAACTGCAACAATGGATTTCAGCATGGTGGAGATTTTGAAGATGGTGCAGGATAGGACAAGGTTTCAACCTGTTGTTCATAGGGTCACTATGAGTTGTTGTCAACTCAGTGGTACTTCACAATAACAACAACACTACCAATGATGGCTAATACAGTAATACTTGTGAGAACTGGAACAGGACTATCTTGGTTTGTTGAGTCTCTTACGTTTTTACCATTTGGCAGAGTAAATTATCTGATATCTATACTACATAGTGAAAAATATTTAAGGTTTTCTTCTTTACACAGGGTTCCCGACCCTTCATCAGGTTTCTGAGGTTATAAATCTATATAGGAGGAAATTGCTCATCATTCTCTCATAGAGCCATTCATGGCTAGAAACTACTCACTGCTGGTCAACAGTGCAACCCGTAACATGCTATATCACCAGAGCCCTTAACTGTATTTATAAAGTTGCTATTATTTTATAATTATCCTAATTCCGCGTATTTGCAAAGAAACCTATGGAAGAGATTCTGGTTTTGTCTCCAATTTACAGATGAAGAAACTTGTAGCTTTCCCAAGGACATACAAAAAATCAGGCCCCAGAGTACACACTCTGAATCAGTATGTTTTATATAGAATTAAATATATAAATAACAAAGCATTAATATTTAAGATAAAATTAATAAGACTGAAAGAGAACTGATGTGTTTGAATTATGATGCTGGTGAAGATTATTGAATGTACATGAACCATCAGAAGAAGGAACAATCTTGTCTTGGAAAAGTACACCCAGAATGCTTAGAAGTAAGGAGGTGAGACTTCATCTCACATGCTGTGGACGAAGTATTAGGAAGGATCAATTCTGGAGAAAAATTTTATACTTGGTAAACATCCTATGGATGGCCAAGAGAATGACAGATATGGAGAAGGTGCAGCCAGAGTGCTCTGTGGAGGCAAGAATGATGAGACCTCACATACTTTGGACATGGTGCTAGGAGGTTCTACTCCTTGGAGAAGGACATGATGCTAGGAAGGGTGGAGGATCGGTGAAGAGGAAGACCCTCAACCAGGTGGACTGACATGGTGGCTGCTGCAATGGGCTGTTCTATCAGGAAGTGTGAGGATGGCACAGGATAGAACAAGGTTCAGATTTTTTGTTCATAGGGTCGCTATGAGTGGTACTCAATTCAACGGCACCTAACAACAACAACAAAGGAATAGGTCAGCACCAAGTAGAGAATCAGTGAAAAAGAAGAAGACTTCAATGATGTGGGTTGACACAACAGCTACAACTATGAGCTCAAAGACAGTCATGATTATGAAAAAAGGGCAGGACTGTGCAGGTTTTTTAATTCTGTTATACAGAGGGTCATTACGAGTTACTACCAACTTGATGGCATCTAACAACAAATAACAAAATAATGTAAAGAAATAGTCAACCACTAAACATCTACCTTTCATTTTCCTTGATGACATTTTCAAGTTGCAGTTTCATCTCACCCATCTGTTTCTGAAAGAATGAAAAATGATGAATTAATATAATTTAATTACAATTAATCCAGTAAATTTTCCAGGTAATTAGATCTCCATTAAAAACCACATCCAAATAAAATAATATTCTGTGACACTAGGTGACTGTTAAGAAAGACTTATTCTTTACTTCTAACCATATTAGAGTAAACATGACTACTTCAATGAAATATAAATTAAAATATTAATTTCTAACATTTTATATAATATACTAAGTAATATTTATAAATGCAATTTTCATGATTTATAGATTTTAAAAGACAGATGCCACTGAAACAAATACCATAAATATTTACCTAAACTTATTAATCTCAGTTTAGCTAAAACCTAGATGAACACTCATTCTTTTCTAGTATTTTAAATGGTACACTGTTAGTATCAAGAAAGAAAATAGAAGCTTAGTTTGGTAGTCACTTATTCAATTTGATCCCCTACCTTTATTGTCTAAACTCTGAATTATGCAAGGCAAAGATGGCCACCAAATTCAAACATACACTTCAGTAAGAAGAATGGCAAAAACCTCCACTAACTAATAAAATAAAGAATAAAATACTCCAATGAGGAGACAAAGAAAAGATTAATTATCTGAAAGGATCCACAAATAGGATTTTAAAAGAAAAGGGAAAACATTCAAGGAAGGAGAAATATGTATAAAAACAAAGGAGAAAAAAAAATACTGGGTTAGCAAAGTGTTTAGGGAATAGACAAAATGGAAGCCAGGAAGAAGGTCATGTGAAAATCATACTTAAAGCAAAAGTACAATCAACTGATGATATGTCCATTAGTTTTAATTGGACACTCGAGGCTACGGAGGGAAGCCAAGTCTAAAGTGAATCTGGCCAGGGAAGGATAGACCAGGCAGTGCTCCAAGCTGTTCTCTGAACTAGAGAACTGAAGTCAGCTTGGTCCAAGCAATGAGTAATGGCCAATTCTAATTACATATTGGCTTGGAACAAGAACCATTCCCAGGTCCCTCCTGTGCCTGAATTACAATTAATCCAAAATGCATTAATTAGCTACCATATTACTGAGATTTGACCAGACATGGATGGAGTGATAAAAAATGGAAAGGCAGGTGAAGGTCATCAATGCCATAGTAAACAAAGCAGTCTGGATATTACTGTAGCAGTTAAGACAGACACTTCATAAAATTTATCAAAACTGATCTTTAGATGTTTCAAAAATCTAAAAACCTTTATATTTCAAAATATCTATTATTATTATTTGTACATAATCATTT